CATCTGGAAAATAAAAAAAAAATTTTATTAAACTTCCTTGGAATTCTGGCCACCTTTAGGTCCAACCGTTCGTTAGAAAAATGATCACTTCCGGATCGGAAATCGTTCGAAAAAAAATTCAAATGGATGAGCTCCGATCATGACTCGTTCCTCCAGAATATTAAAGAAAAATTTTATTAACATTCCCCTGATAACTCTAAAGAATTCGTTTCCTGTAAAAGTCACGTCATGTTGGTTAAGTTGATTTCCAAGTATTTGACCAAAATTGTGGTGGTGGCTGATGGGGGATGAACGCAGCCCGTCGAGAGGATCTATTTCTCTTTTAAACCCCCCTCCGACCATCCACCTATTTACAGTATTTCATATTCCAGCTACCAAGAGTTTAAAGAAGGTTGATCATAGTATTCGAATTGTACCAATGCACTTTATGTATTAAAAAAAAAAATTTCAGGATGAATCGAATTTTCCGCTGTATTTTCCAATTTTTTAATATCCCTCTAGCCCACTCTCTCTTAATCGATTCGTTCTACGGAATTGATCCATAAGACTTTTTCTTCTTCCCTCGGTCTCCTGTACAAGAAAAATACTTTTGTTGTATGAATTTTTTTTGTTGTATGAATTTTCATCTTTTAACTTTTGAATGATTGGTGGTAGGAAAGTAGTCGTTGAGAGCACGGGAACTTTACTCTCTGAACGAATCATTCCCGACGCTCCCCTTCCGTTGTAATAGTCGATTTCCGATTTTTAATACTTCAACGCTCTCTGTCTCTTAAACGCTGCATCTTAGGTGGTCATAGAATCTTTTCTTCTCCGATTGAAGCCTGCTATATGACAAAATTATAAAAATTTTAGATCTACGACATTTTGTTATAACTTTTGGGATGGAGGCCAGATGAGAGGTTGGAATGGATAAGTCTCCTCGAAATAGACAACTTTTGTATGAGGTGTTTCCACCCTACCATCACTTCTTCACCCCCTTTTCGACACTTTAATACTTTAAAATTCTGTTTCTAAAAAATTCCATAGGCCAACGATCGGAACGCCATCTTGGGCGATCGAAAAAGCGGTCCACCCTATATAAAAATTATTGTTTTTTTACCAATCCATAAACCCTGCTGCTTGTTTTCTTTCAATTTAATCGGCGGACTAGGGTACATTAATTTCTCTGTTGTTGGATTTTTACACGAAGAAAACGACTCAATATCTATAAATTTATCTAGATATGTAATTCAGATAAATTCGAAAATTTTTTGATACTTGAGAAAGACCATTCTTTTCGTATAAATCCTCTGAGCCTTCTCACCGAAAAGTCAAAGTGTATCCGTGAGAAGGAAAATATCATTTGAAAAATGTAATATACAAGGAGTAAATCTCTTATTACGATGTCTTAAAATATGATTAGAGTCAATATGATGAGCTAGAGATTAATAGAAAAGAGAAATATTTCTTTTATTATAAATAAAAGTATTTTTTTTATTATCGACAAATAATTATTTTTTTAAACGGATCGTATAACGAAAGCTGCACGCAAACAAAGAAATTAATTAAATATTACATAAGCTGTATTAATTGTGAATGCAGGAATTGCGTTATTTGCATAAGCGTATTTATATTAACGTAGATTTTGATAACTCGCGTAATACCATTCGAAGAATACTCGAACGAACCAAAAAGGTTACAAAAATAATTGTCCGTAATTATCGCAAAATGAAAGATCTTCAACGTGTACTATCGATTTTTCTTAGATTGCACTGAGCCGAGAACGAATTCTGCACTTGGAACAATTAAATTCGTCGACTGATCTTCAATATCACTTATGATACTGCACACTTATTATACT